AGCCTCGCCTCGTGCTCCACAGATGGGGCTGCAGTGCTCTGTGTAACTTCCAGTTGTGGTCAAACACACACTTTCTTCACTACCTCTAGGTGTGCATTTCAGCAGTGTTCAGTGCAAATTCGTGTGCATGTACTGTTGTTAACAGCCAATATCTTCTCAGAACGGGTGAGAAGATAATGACTCTCCATATATGTGAGACATAGTATTTTGTAGAGGCCAGGGAATTAGCTCAGCAGCATAAGTGCCTGCCAGCGAGCCTGACAAGGGTGAGGTTGCAAGTTTGATCCCCGTACCAAAAAAAAAAAAAAAAAAAGATACAATATTTTGTAATATTTATATGTAACCTGTTGCATTCATGAAGGTGTTTATAGGTTTCCCTACATTTCTGAAGTCAGTTGAGCCTCCAAAATAAGTTTCAGGATTATTGCACCAACATCAGTGCCAATAACCACAAAAATTAATATTCAAGCTTGCTTGCTTTTTTTTTTTTTTTTGGTACCGGGGATTGAACTCATGACTTTGTGCATGCCAGGCAGGCACTTGTGCCACTGAGCTAAATCCCAGCCCCAATTCAAGCTTTCTTTGCAGTTCTTTTTTGTGCATAGAATATATTTTAGTAAGTTTAAATACAGTCAGAGTGCATGTTCAAAAGTAGTTTATATTCTTTTCCTTGTGTAGTTGTATTATTGATTTGATACACTGTTAAGGAAATAAGCTTTTAAATTTCTATTTGTGTTCACTTTTATAATTTGCCTTGTTTAGTTGTTTGCTTGTTTGTTTGTTTTTTGCTTTTACTTGTGTTTGTGTTTTTGTATTTTGGTACCAGGGATTGAACTCATGACCTTGCATCTACCAGCATGTGAGCTAAATCCCTGCTGAGCTAAATCCCTGGCCCCATGTTCAGTTTTTTCAGTTAAATTTTATTTCTCAATTTCTAAAAGATGGTTCAGAATCCAACACTATATAAAAAGAAATCCAAAGAAATCACCCTTATCCCTTTAGTTCTGATTTCTTCTTTCTCTTATAGATGTTCTTTCATTTGTTTCTGATTTATCCTTCCATTTTTTTACAAAAAATGAGCAACACATGTGAAGTCATATATGTATCTCTTTTCTTCTTTATCTAAAAGATAGCATAATATATGCATTCTTTTTTATTTTATTTTAAGTGTAGTAAAAATACAGCAGAACAAGACAGAACAAAGCCAATCAAGACAATGTAGTGATATTGGTACAGAACTTCGAAGCAGGATACTGGGATAACAGTAATAGGTACTTAGTATATCTTGTTATCTTCACAATAGTTGTCCAGTCAATTAGGTGTAGCAAAATCAAACTAATAACAGAACATTGTAAAACCAATTGAAGGAGAATATTGAATACAGCAAAACAATCATTACAAAACATAACACTGAAAATATCCTTTGCCTTCAAACAGAACATAGAAGAAAATCCCCCATATTAGCTATATTGCATATGGTCATCCTCCAAAGAGGTGCTCAGAACTCTGTCCCCAGTTGCTGACGGGTGAGAGGGTGGGGGGATGTTTGATTCTTAGCCTGTGCCAGTAGGCTCAAGGGAACAGCTGACTGGTTCTCTTCCCAGCCGGCGCCAGGGGTGCTTACCAAGAGGGTGGGCCTACATTCTTGACACTACTTCAGGGGTACCTTATAAATTAGGATATAAAGTATTTTGCTAGAAATTCTGCATTTTTGTTTGTACATCTCATTTCTCCCCAGAGTTGTTTAAATAATTTTTAATCTTCAATTAGAAGAAACATTATATATTTATTTATTGTTGTTACTAATTTCTAGTTTTACTGCATTGTGCTCAGAGAATATTTTTCATGCTATTTCTAGTTTAAGGAACTTAATGAGGATTTTTCCTTTGTGTCCTAATATAAGGCTAATTTCATTACTGCCCTTTGTACACTTCAGAAAAAATTTATTCTGTTGAATCAGGGTGCAGCACACACCCGTCACTTAACGAGCATACAGCGGTGCCTTCTCAGGAGTGTTGTGTGGTCTTCTCTAGCCTCCTCACTTAGCTGTTTGTCTGTTGATAGGTTTTAGACTGAGTACTGTATGACTGGTTTTCTGTTGCTTTGTGTCACTCATACAGCTTCTGCTGTGTGGTGGTGGTGACTTTAGCCTTCGCATTTGCATTTCTTAGTTGAAGTGCTTCCTGACCTGAATTTTATCTTGCCTTTGTTGGAATCACAGCTCAACTTCACAATGTTTGCATTGCCTAATATTTCTTGGTGCACTCCTTTATATGCAACCTTTTGTTTGCAGTGTGTTCTCTTGTATACAGCGTGGAGCTGGGCTTAGCTTCATAAACAACCTGAATATCTTCTAATACATTAGTTAGACATGAATTACTGGTATGATGAATGTGTTTGGTATCAACTCGTTTTTTGTGTTTAGCATTTAGGAAAATTGGCCTTCCTTGCTTCTGAATACTTTCTACACCTGCTTACTGTGGTCCCAGAAACTTGCAAGTCCCTCCTTGTCTCCCCCAGTAGCCAACTGCTTTGATTCCCAAGGTTGCAAACCTGATCTTGGTGTTCCCCAGCTCTGCATGGAATCTCCTCTTATGGGTGACTGCCTTGGTTACTTTTCTCTCATTGCTGAAACAAAATACCTGATGCCAAAATTAAGCAAGAAAAGGTTTATTTATCTTACAGTTTTAGAGGCTTAAGTCCGTATTCAGCTGGCTCCAAGGCAGGGGGTCTGGCTGAGGGACAGTCATTCATGGTGGCAACAAGCAGCAAGAGGGAACCGGTAAAAGAGCAGGCAAAAAGGAGCCCACTTCCCTCCTCGTGTTGTGTGCTGGCTCTGCCCCTCGGCAAGTGCAGCACTCACACCACCAGTCTCAGCATTAGACCATGAACCAGTCACAAACACCAGACACAGCCACCGCCCTGACTGCATGACGCTTGGGGCCACTCAGACACAAACCTAACAGTGGCTTTACCTGCAGCTGCCATCATGAGGACCCCATTGTACTTTCCTGCTCTTACCTAGCTTTGCTTTTGTCTCCTCTTCAACCTGGACTCCAGAGTTAGCTTGACTGCCCACTCAAGTCTTTTTACGTGTAGTTTGGAGTCCATAGTAGTTTCCTTTCATAGTTATTTTTTAAGTTTTATGAGTTTTATTGTAAGGGTTTACTTGCCATCCTTGTTTATCTCAGATGTCTCTGGAAGATTTATGAAGGCATTTGAGTATAAGGAGCTGCTGTTATCCTGTGGGAACCTGTATATCAACATTTTATTTTTAAAATTCTTATTGTTTAACAGGTAATGTTAACTTTTGCTGTATATTGTAATATATATCCATGTTTCTCTGAACCATACTAGAAAAAAACAGTTGGAGATATAATTATTTCAAAGAGCTCCAATACAGAAATGCAATTAGACTTATTCTGGACCCATTCGTATCTATACGGAGGAGCATATTCACAATCAGGACAAGGAAGCCTTTCCCATGGATGAAACTGCCTACAGAGTAGGTGGGTTACCTGTAGATTGTAAAGGTTTTCAAGTTTAGAGTAGAAAAATGTATGTGAGAAATTCAAGCCATCTAATGTGTAAAGAGATAATCTTTAAGAGGTTGTTGTAAGATGCTGCAAGTTAATGACTATTGTGTATGAGGAATTTATCATCTGACCTACCGTCTCAGCAATGGCCATCTCAGCTGCTGGTTGGTTTACTGTAGATTATGAATGTACGTAAGTGGGGTTTCCCTTTAACCATGGAATGTTGAACATGACCTGTGTTAGAAATCATATAGTTCAAGAAACAGAACTTTTTCTTTTCCTGACCACAGAGTGAATTACATGTAGCTAGAATGAGCATAATACTTAAGAGCAGAGAGTACAGCTTCAGCCCGCTGAATTGAGGTGCCAGCTCCACTCTTTCCTTGCTGGGCATACGATTGCACTTCACTACTATCATGACTATTGTCCTGTTGTAACAGAGCTTGGTGGAATGGGAGTTTGCTTAAATTAGATATAAAATACAGTACTGTCAACTCGTTGCCACTGTGGTCTTCAAACCTGTCCTTCCATTACTGTGAATCAGAACATTTGTTGCTCACTTTTTGTGTCTGTGGGTCTTTTAGCCTCATTAAGCTATTTTGTGTGAGGTAGTTGTTTTTCCTGTCACCACTTCAAGTGCCTTCCAAGAGGGCCAGAGACGTAGCATCATATCTACTAAAAGACTTGTGCAGGAAACAGTTTCTTGGCCCCTGGCAAAGTCATAGGTTGACTGTCCTTGGGTCAGATGCTGGTCTCTGGGCTGGCCAGTTGTCCCTAAATAGAAGTTTACTCAGAAGAAGTCATAGGGTCATGTGCTTGATAAGGATTCTACTGTTTGAGCTGTCCAGAACTATAATAAGGATAAAGAAATCACTTAAAGAGTATACCCAAACCTGTCATTAAACAGGTGTGTTAGCTTTTCTATTGCTAGGAGAAAATGCCTAATACTTCAAAATTAACGAAGAAAAGGTTCATCTGGCTCATGGTTCCCAAAGTTCAGCTGTCTCCAAGCCAGAAACACCATGGTCAAAGAGCAGGTGGAACAAAGCCACTCACTTCGTGGTGGCCAAGAAGCAGAGCACAGGAAGAGCAGTGGGATAAAGGCAGACTTTCAGTGGTGCCCTGGTGACTGCCTCCTCCCCACATGATGAGCTGTGACCATCAGTGGGCCACACACTCATGAACCAGTCTGCTCAGAGGCTTTGGAGACAGGCAGAAAGGGTGGGGGGGGGGGTGACAAGACAGTGTGGCAGGACAGTGCTTAGCATGTGTGCCTCATGCAGTGTAGACTCTTGGTTGATTGGCACAGTACAGCTCTGTAGTCTTCACGATTCCCCCTAGATTACAGCTGGTACCAGTGTTATGATTTTCTCGTCCTTCCAAATTCTTTGAAGCATTTTAACTTTTGTTTAGAAATATCACAGAAAAGTGAGGATTACCTTGTGTTGTTTTTGTCTCATGCAGGAGTTCAGTGTACCCCCAGTCCCCAGTGCATAGCTGTCATCTTCCTGATATTGGGAACCATTCAACCCATCTGGCTCAGTGTTCATCTTTCATACCATTTATTCAGTGTTATTCTACTGTGCATGGAAAAAATTAGATCTACTTGCAACAATAATTCATCTCACTTTGAATGACGGCTTCCAGAATTATTGCCCCTAATTAGAAGCCTGTTAATCTTTCTAATGTAAAGTATGTAGTAAATTCCCAAATGTGAAAGTCTGATGAAATGTCTCTAGAGACTTGTAGCATAACATGATGTTAATTAGCAGCAGATAGAGTTAAGTGTAAAAAAGAAACATTTCATTATGAATTGTATCAAAATAAAATGACGATACAGCGCGCTCTTAATTTTACCCTTAAGAAAACTTACCTCTTCATGGTTCCCCAGTTGGAAGACTTCTCTTGTAAACCTGCAATATAAATTTTGGATATATTCGGGTCCCAGTCTCTTGGGGGCATCCAATGTCACCAGTTAGCGTGGGTTCCCAACTGCCTCCATCAACACCGACTTAGCGAGTTGTAACAGGTTCATAAGGAATGGGATGGGAAGGAGGAGAGGGGCCACACAGTCATTCAGAAGGGGAAGGAACATGCTAGACTGGCACACTGAGAACTAGTGACTCAGAGTGACTGACAGCAGACCTGACGACAACGAAGGTCGCCAACAGCAGAGAAGCACAGACTGGCAAAGAACAGCCAGGGGCCACCATCTCCAGTGGCCAAAAGAAGCCCTGAGGTTTGCTCTGTGTGGCAGGCGGGGCGCCAGTACTAAGAGCTGACAGCACCGGCAATCCCACTCTGGGCCGAAGCTCTGAGTGCCTTCTCCCAGTATGTGCTTCCTGACACCCTAAGCAGGAGGCCTCAGCTGGTCAGTAACAGCCTGAGAGGAAGTGGACAGACAGTGTTGATGGTCATCGGCAAGTGCGAGAACCAGCCCTCGTCTGAGTTCCACAGAGAGGTAGTGGTGGTGGGGTTCCACTAAGTCTAAAACCTTGGTACTAACTTTCAAAGACATATTCATTTCTTTTTTCCCCAATCCTTGCTACTAATTTTTGGCTGTTGTTCCATGGAGGAAAATCCACTGAAGCTATCAATAAATGCCGTTTATTTCTATTTGCTGGGCAAGACATCATACCATAAGCCAAAGCTCGTATTACTCCTATGCATAGAATTTAAATTTAGAAGATTTTATGTAGCCAATTGGGACTAATCTTAAGAAATCACAGAATTCTCGAGTAGAAAAAAAAAAAAAACTGGATGGCAAGAAAACTCAACAATAACCAACACTAGACCAAAATTTTCAGTCCCAGCTGTCACATTATTCTCAAAATAAATTAAGTGTGAAAACACTGCTTCCGGATCCTCTCTCTGTCACCCAGATCTTTTTATTCTTCCTCATCCTGCCTGGGGTTAGAAGCGTTTCCCCTTGGAAACAGAACCAGTTCTTTCCTGTACTTAGCTCATATACCTTAGAAGAGGAAGTTTCTCCTGCTCATATCACAGGAGACAAGGGCCAGGGTGGGGTGCCCTGCTCCCCACTGTCATCCTCCATCCTTCATGTGGTTTCTCCTTCCCTGCTGTGCTGAAAGATGGAGACACACTGAGGACGCCCAGGGAGCCATCAGGCGGGATCTGGAGTGATGTATGTGTTTCACCCTCATTCCATTGCCCTCCTCCATGAACTGCAAAGGAACGGAAGTGCCATCTTGCTGTCTTGGGGTGGTGTGGGGGAGGCACAAGGTGTCGTGAGTGTGTGGCAGCCACTGCCCTGGCAGAGGTGGGTTAGAAGCAGCAGTGGAATGGGGCTGGCAGCTGGAGTCAAGACAGGGTCGCCATTGTCAGCAGAGCAGCATGGGCAGCAGGCACACTGCAGGGCTGACTGCTCAAACCAGCCTGACCTGACGTTATGATGTTTATACAACTACTAGTTGTTTGTAGGAAGGTTCAAGCATGTAGACCCAGTAAATGGAAAAGTAGCTTTTCCAGAAACCACTGTATTTCCACTCAGAGTTAAGTCAGAAAGAATGCATCAGCATCTTCAGGTTGTGACTGTAGAAGCCTGTGAATGTGAAGTTTCAGATTTTAGAAATATATATTGAGCTAAATAACTTTTTTATTTATCATTTAATTAGTATAGGTTTACTGAACTTTTCATAGGTGCCAGACAGTGTGAGGATAATAGCAGTAGGTTAGTCCCTCAAAAAGGATCAAATTTAGTGGGAAAGAATAAGGTGAGTAGCTGGATTCTGAAGTATCCCATGGAATCTTCAGATGGAGGGGTTGCAAGTCTGAGATGCTGCAACCCAGGTGACAGGGCAGTGCGGCGGGAAGGGCCTGAGGAAGCAAAGGGCTTGCAGCGCTCAGCCATGCACTGTCATCTGGGGTCCAGCTGCCTTATTTCCGAGTTTGTGGAAAGAATCCCTGCCCTTCGGTTTCTGTGGTAATCCAGGATAATCTGTATAGGGCTAACTCCGTGTGCAGTATTGCTACAATGTGGTGGTTAAGTTTATGAAAATAACTGAAGCACATAAAGCTCAGATTGGCCGAGGAAGTGTGTTGCCTTGTACTAGTTCCTGAATTCTCTCATTTGGTGGTCATGACTTCAGCCACTGCTGTGCACATGGACTCAAGACCAGGGCCATGTGCACCTGTGTGTGCCTACATTTATCTTCTAGCCCAGTGCCGGAGCAGGTCTGCAAGCTCCCCACTGTTAGCTGCCTGGAGGGAGACCCTCATCACTGTCCCACCCTCCTGCTCTGCTGCAGGGGCCACCTGACTTATCCTAGTCACTGCTTCCCCACCTACTCTCCGACCTTTCATTGCCTACATTTCCAGGGCTGCCTGCAGGCAGCCTGTCCTCCTAAGGAAGTCCCCTGCTTAGACTTAATTTATATTTCCCAAATTACCTCAGAAATAATATGCCACCTCCCTTTGATCTTTGCAGGTTTGTCTTCCTGTGTATGTTCAGATTATGGTCCCCAAGTCATCCCGATGCCTCCATGGAAGCATTGTCCTCTGGTCCACGCCTGGCCAGTGTCTGACATTGCTCTGTTGAGCAGCCTCATCCTGTTCTTTAGCGCCCACTGTACCCTGACTGGCCTTCTTGGCTTTCCAGGGCTGACCTTTCCTTTATACACAGAAAATGCCCAGAAGTGTCTGTTAATCAGAGAGCAGAAGAACAGCCAATTAGATTCACCTGTCACTGAAAATAATTTTTTAGAATTATTTCCTATGTTAGTTATCTTTTATTTTACTGCCAGTATTATAGAAATACTCCTTTTTTATAAATGCAAGTCATCTCTGCTGCTTGTGGATTAACTGTGCATCTGTAGGGTGAGTAGGAGCCATGTATCACACTGTTCTTTGCCAGATAGGGTTCCCAGTCCTAACAACGGCCTTTACTTTGGCACATTATCAGATGTCTGTCTCTGAAAAATTTTCCCTCTCACTGATTTTTTAAAAAAGGGTTTCACTTTTTAAAAGTTGCCTTATTTTGTTATTCTCATTCAGTGAATGTCTTTTTGTACCATTTGCTGCAAAGATTCTCAAATCCTTCAGCCTCAGGGAGGGAAGTCGCTGCGGAGGCAGCTGGAAACACCAGGCATGAACAGATGCAGCACGTGTGTGCAGAGATCGGGGCCTGCAGCCCTGCGAGACAGACTTCCCACTAACCAAAACCAGACACGTTTGCATACGTGAGCCTCAGCAGGCTATCTGAGGACTTGCCTGACATTGATTAGTTGAAGTGCTAAATTACAAGTGCTAAATTACCTTGTGTCCTGTGATCCTGCACTGGCCCATGCAAGACTCCGTGCCTCTCCCCAGGAACTGCCCTTCTGTCCTGCCCCTTCCTGTGTCCTGTCAACCACCCCCAAGGCTGCCCAAACTCCATGCTAAATCAGCCGTTAGACTTCTTCCTGATTTCCTTCCCCCATGATTAGAGAAATCAAGATAAAATGAACACACAGAAGCTTTTTGTTCACCCCTCACCATACCTTAAAATGCCCCCATCTGCCACCTTTGAGGATATACCTCCCTCAGTTTGGAAATGTCCACACACCACGAGGTTATAGGGCAGAAGCTTCTTCCTAATATTTCTCTGATTGCCTGTTCCAGCACAGACAAACGCAGTCCGTCCATAGTGCTCAGGAACTTCGTGCTTATGGAACCTGGTGTGTCCTTCCCTGTAACAGGAGCTAGTGGATTACAAGCTCCGTAAGACCACTGTTCATATTTGGCTTATTATTCTCTGCCTCGTGGCACTTAGCAAAGGGGTCTGTTAATTGTAAGAGCATAAAAGCATTAACTGACCCCAGCCTCTGTAACCCTGCCTCCTCAGAAGGCTGAGGAAGAGAACTGCAAATTCAAGACCAGCCTAGGCAATTTAGCAAGACGCTCTCTGGAAGTACAGAAGTCAGGGGCTGGGAACGTAGAATACTTGCCTGTCACGTGCCAAGCCCTAGTTTTATTCCCCAAAATATAAAAACGTGTTTACTGAAAAGTTAACAGTTCTCCTCAAGATAAATATTGTAACCGCAATATTATATATTGTAATCCCTTTTCTTATTCACCTTGCAATCTGGAAAGTTATTTTTGTAATTTCGTTGATACGTTATTGGAATCCCAGTGAATTAATTCCAGTCTACTACCTCCAGTGCAACCCACGGTGAGAAGAAAGACATTAAGACATATTTATAGCTATGGGCAGCAAAGAGGTCCTGAGTCCGTCCTAGGTGAGGACACACAGAACAAAGGCCTTGATGCAAGGCCTTCCCCAGAATTTATTATCTTGTGGCGAAGGGAGTGGCTCAAGGATGAGTGACAGGATGGCAGGAATTACCTGAGCAAGGGAAGCTGAGCTGGCTGGGCCGAGAGCAAGCGCCTCTGCAATATGCAGGGAGAGAGATATGCAGGAAGACCAGTCTGCATGACTCGATTGGGTAGCATCTGAATGTTTTAGGAGGCTGTTGCTTCAGTTTCTGATATGTAAACCCCAGTGCCCTGGGAAGTCATAGCCTCTTACCTTGTAGCTGGAACCCACTTGATGTTCCTATAGCTATGTGTCTCTACCATCCTACCGTGAGCAACTGTTCTATAGGGAACACAGTGCAAGCAAGCAGGAAACTGTTGGCTGGCTTCTGATTACACATCAGTACCTCCACTGGCCTTATTTGCATTGCTTAGAGCCAATTGAAGGAGAAGAAAATAGCTTAGCCAGCTCTTAGAGACGGGATTTGGTTTCATTAATGCCAAAGCAATTGTTCTGCATTCTAGGGGAGCTGCCCAGATCATCTCCTACAATAAGCTAGCTTTAGTATGCTTTGTTGGTGAAGCTGGTGTTTGGGCTCCCTGAATCATTCCATATTTTCCTTCACAGAAGTTACTCTGGATTTTCAAGGTACCAGTGCAACTGTATTTTATTAATAAGGTTGCACTCACATCCGTGGATTTGCCCTCTTTCCTGGTAGCCTTGTATGCAAGCTGAACACAAGAACCACCATCCTGGCAGCCACCAATCCCAAAGGCCAGTATGACCCCCAGGAGTCCGTGTCAGTGAACATCGCCCTCGGCAGTCCGCTCCTCAGTAGATTCGACCTGATCCTTGTTTTGCTTGATACCAAGAATGAAGACTGGGATCGAGTCATTTCATCCTTCATCTTGGAGAATAAAGGTGTGTAAAGAAAGCTATTCAGGCTGAAAGAGAAAGCTTAGGTCTAAATAAAGGCAGTTTTCCTGGAAAACAGTGAAATGCTCAAGATACCTGTTTTACAGACGCCCAAGGGATGCTTAGCCAGAAGGTGGTCTGTGAGAGGAGCAGGTTAGCAAGCCCAGCATAATGAGCAGAGGGGAAGGGCTGCGCCACCTGCCAGGGGAGATGACCATGAATGCAGGTGTCCTTGGGACAAGAGGAGGAGACCTCATGGTGCCGCATTACTGTAACTCAGCTCTTGCCACACAAACGGGACTGAATGGTGAGGTGAAAATCACTAAATGCAAGCCCCTCTATAAGCAGATTTCCTTAAGTACTCTGATTACTAGCAAGCAGAATAGAATATCCTGAATGATATTAGCCCCGGAGGAAGCACACCTTTACTGCTCACTCTGGACAGACAATGGGCTGGATTTCAGGACCACAGAGCCTGGAGGCTGTCTTTTAATGATGAAACCCTTGCTGTTGTTAAAACTGGCTGGCTGACGCAGGCTGCCTGAGCAGGGCCAAGAAGCTATGGAGCATGGAGAAGATGAAAACCTACTTCTGCCTCATCAGGACGCTGCAGCCCACGCTGTCGGACGCAGGCAACCAGGTTCTGCTGCGCTACTACCAGATGCAGAGGCAGAGCAATGCCCGCAACGCAGCCCGCACAACCATCCGCCTGCTGGAGAGCTTGATCCGCTTGGCCGAAGGTGAGCTCAGTTGCTGAGGGATGCTTTCACTGAGTCCCAGGGTTTAGGGCGTGATGTGGGTACCCCAGAACAATCCCTACCCAGGGTACCCATGGTCACGTGACAGCACAGGCACTGAGCCCTGGAGCTCACTGTTCTGGACAGGAAGGGTGCCGAGCTGAAGTTGTGTTCTTGGAGCCTTCTCCTCAGGATTGCCCATAATGTAAGGTGCCAGCCCTCGGAAGGCCTCACTTTCACTGTGCAGGGCTCTCAGCCCTTGGAGTGGGGAGGCTCTTGTCCCACGTGCAGCAGCATCTCCAGCCACTCGGCCACTCAGAGGCATCCTGCTGTTACAGTAATGAGGTCAAGAGCGCTATGCCCTGACCTCCCTGGGGCTCGGGACTGATGCGGGCACGCATGGCTAACACGCCCCCTACCCCCCCCGCCTGCTGTCCAGCATTGGCTTTTACACTGCAGCCTGTGTTCAGATAACTCTTAAAATACATGCACTGAATGTATTATATCATGAAATCATATAAGCTTAATAAAAAGTATAATAAAACAAAAGGACCTCATTTTTTCCAAGGATTTGTAGCTAATAGGAAGGCAAGAAATACCCAAAATTCAAGCTTGTTCATTTGGTAGCTTTGAGAAGCTCGTAAATCATAGATAAAAATAAATGCCAGAGATGAAAAATGAGTTTTAATTTTGCATGTTTCTATAACAGATTAAAAAATGAGGGTTGAAAGTTACTGAATATTAAATATAATGTTCATACAGCTCCTGTATTTCCCAGGGTACTTTTTCATATGAATAGACAATATTACATGAGCTAAGTGGAAAGTTTAAGCCTTTTATTAACACAAAACTGTAAAGCCAGTGCAATGCAGACTTCTGTACTTCATCTGGTAAAATGAGTTTATTAGGAATAGCTTATTCCTAAAGTACAGTTTTGGAGAGGGGAGACAGGTGCAGAAGTACACTTATCCCCTCACATAACCCTAAAATCAGGTGAACTTCATTTTCACAGCCCACGCCCGCCTGATGTTCCGTGACACCGTGACCCTAGAAGACGCAGTCACCGTGGTGTCAGTGATGGAGTCCTCCATGCAGGTGAGAGACTTTGCACACCAAGCAATTGTTTTCCCTGACTGCAGGCTCCCCAGCATGGTCTCCAGTTCTGCACATGCTCATGTTCGGACTCAAGTGCTGGGCCCCTGCAGAGGGGGACGGCACTGTCCTGTCTCTGGGTGTTGGTGTGGGGCAGGGGCTGCCCTTGTCCCTTGTTGGTGTAAAGCAGTGAGTTTCAGCACCCTGGGGAGGGGGTGGTGTCCATGGTCTCACTGTGACAGTGTAGCTGCCTGTAGTAGTGCCACCCAGATACTGAGGGGAGAGAAGGGATCCCAGAGACCCAGCACCTGGAGGGGGATGTGTGGGGCTGCCCTGGGACGCCGGTGCCCTCTCCCTCTGCAGGGCGGAGCGCTGCTAGGAGGGGTGAACGCTCTGCACACGTCCTTCCCTGAAAACCCTCGCGCACAGTACCAGCAGCAGTGCAAACTCATTCTTGAGAGGCTGGAGCTGCCGAGCCTCTTGAGTGAAGAGCTTCAAAGGCTGGAAAGGTAAGGAAGGAAAACCCAGAGAGGGAAATAGAAACCTTTCCCTGGCATTTGAGAAACAAAGGTTTGTAAACTAAGTGAAAAAGCCGCTGTCCTGTGTCTCGATGTGTAACAAACACGGCAAGACTCCGTGCTTCTTAGAAAAAAAGAAATTGTTCAAAAGTGAAAGGAGCTAGGGAGGAGGATGGGGGAAGGAAGGAAGGGGAAAGAAAAAAGTGATAAAGAAGGGTAAAATGGAAACAAAGCTTTGTAAATAAGGAGAAGAGGCATTGAAGGGAGGGGAGGGGATTGAGGAAAAAAAAAGAATCAAGACAAATGTATACAGGTACAAATTCCTTATGATGAATATGATTTTATGTATATATAGATTATACCAGTAAATTTAGTTAGAAATAAAAACAGGGCCAGGGATATAGCTCAGCGGCATAAACACCTACCTGGCAAGCACAAGGTCCTGAGTTCGATTCCCTATACTAAAATAAATAAATAAATAAGATTTTTAAACAAAAGACAAAAAGAAGCAAGCCCTAATGTTACTCCCTGGACAGGTGTCAGGTGCAGACACCCCAAGAGAGGCATCTCCTTGCCACACACAGGCCAGCTGGGCCAACAGCCTGGGAGGATAGAAGCTTTCCTGGCACTTGTGGTAGTGTGGACAGCAGGAAGCCATGTGTCTGGTAGTCAGTGACCACATGCATCCCTCGCTGATGAAAATCTGGGCTGAATGGCAGAGCTTGTGGTCCCCTCAGTACTGGGGTCGCCTCTGGGGCATAGGCATGGGAATGGCAGGACTGCAGCAGGCATCTGCGTGACCAGGGAGGGCTGGCCTGGCCACCCTCCAGCGGGGCCTAGGGTGTGGAGTGCATGTGAGGGGTCAGCTACAGCTGGAGTGCTGGGGACCCCCCAGGTGGAAACCTTGTTCTTCTGAGTCTCCTGCTGCTTCCTCCTGGCTCCAGCACACACACTAACTTATGACCGCAGGGGGCACAGCCTTCCTGGCTGGCTGTACTCTGCTGGCTCCTGGGTGCCAGGCTGCAGAAACGCACACTCCGAGTGAAAACAGCCCCGGGCATGATCCAGAGTGTGCGAGGCGGTTGCACCACTGAGCCGCGAAGCTTTGCTGTAGTTGGTCCTCTCTTGCCCCTCATGGGCAGGGCTTTGCCTGTGCTGGGGCTGCTCATTTCCTCAGCCCAGGGACAGACACTGCTGGACAGAGGTTCCAGAAAGGAGCAAGGGTGAGAGCCCTTCAGTGTTGTGCCTTAGACAGATGGCAGTGGACTTCTCAAATTCAAAATGACTGTCCGGAGGAGGAGGGAAAAAGAGTATTGACTGTCAAAAATATAGTGTTCTGCCTTAAAATGCTCTTTGTCGTGGGTGTTTCTTTGCAGCATTCTGGCATTAAACCTGAGAGTAACTAAGATGCTGCACACTGAAGCCAAGTCACCTCGAAAGTCATCTAATCAAGGGAGAAAAGCCTGAGTAGGCATGGGTTTTTACCCTTTAGGAAAGAGTTCTCTGTTCCTTAAAAGATCATACAGTTACCATAAAATCACTGGTATTTTTATCAAACTTTGCTTCTGGAAAGTGTATTACCATTGACAATCTACCCTAAGTAGTGGCCATCCCACCTACCTGAAAGCAGAAGCCAGAGGCACTGTCCTGCGGGAAGGTCAAAGTGCAGAAGCTGTACGTGAGGAGAACTTGATTTCTGAGGAAGAGTCACTAATTATTAGAACAGTGGAGCCAGCCTGGCATGGGTCCTGCCTGTGATCCCGGCTCTCGGAGAATCAGGAAGGCATGTTCAATACCAACTCAGAGAGGCCTTGTCTCAGAATTAACACACACGCACCACACACAGAGGGCTGGGGGTGTAGCTCAGGTGCTACATTAAATCCCCACTGTCACTAAATAAATGCCACGTGAATCATGGGCGAGTTGTCTCACCTGCTTCTGGGTGTGATTTTTCCTCAGGTTTAGTAGGAACAGTCAGGGTCATGGGAGGCACCTGTGGGTGTTCAGAAGGCCTCGCCATGTGTAGCACCCCCTGCTAGAGCGTGGTCCTTCCATTCATTCTGTGTGTCGAGGGTGAGTGTTGCTGAGCAGATCCCGCTTCAGCGAGGAAAGTGGTTTGCACTCTGTATCGGAATGACCAGGCTTTACAGAGAGGGTGGCCCGACCACCCGGGCACCCACCATGAACATAAACGCAGCAGGGTCAACCCCCATGTGCGCTCTAGAGGAAGTGACTGTCACGTGTGCCAAGTCCAGTACCTGCAGGGCAGGGAGGTGTGTCATAATTCTAGTCTCCACCCTGGCTCTGGCCTGTACCCCAGCTGCTAACAG